TTGTTCACTTCGCCCTTTTGAGAGGACACGGTTTACTTCTGTGACCCACTCAAGCCAAGCAAGATTAATGGAAGCACTGGGAGAAATAAACAGTCTGAATTTTAGCCTAGCTCTTGACCATTTTTCAAATACTTGTTCTCCATTTCTCCCATTACCAGAAAGCCAAATCATTCCAGCTTCATAGGGTACCACTCAGAATATAATTGAGGCTTGAATAAACAACACATGTGGCTTTTAAGGTTAAATGAATATTGTTTGACATACAGTACACTAGAGTTGTTTTTCATTTTGGTTTTTAAAATTGGTTAAAATTACATCTTGTTGCTTCTCGGAATTAACTGGAATCCATCTGTCTCCATTAGGATCACTGATTTTTTTTTTTTAAAAAAAGCCTTGGCTGAAAAAAGAAGCTTCCTCTCCCTCAAGATAATTTGTCCAGTGAATCAGGAAAAAAATAAAGAAACAGGCTTTTTAGGGTACTAGTGCCTACTTTCTTTTATGTATTTTCTTTCTTAGATATATCTAAGTTATAACATCTAAGATTAGAAACGGACAGACTTATTTTCAGTGGCCCAGACAGATCCTCCCCAGGTCGAGAGAATCTCTTACAGCCAGACAGAACATGAACACCTACAATCATTTCGCTTTAACTATTGTTCACATTGTGTGTAATAATTAAAACGTTGAAACCTTTAGCAGCTACTTATAGAACATTCGAGTTTAGAGAATGCTGTTTTGATGATGCTGAAACCTCAAAAGCAACAAAAATACTCGTAGTTCCTTCTTGAGAACATATATACAGAAGTAATGGCAGCAGCGGTTTCTGATGAGGTGAAATAGTTCAAATTTAGACACATACCTGTTTGCTGAGGCTTACATGATTGTGACCCATTCATCTGAACCTGTATTACAGGGTATTAATAGTCTGCTCCCATGCTTGATACTGACTTGCCTTATCACTTTGCCGTCTTACCCCTCTGCTCATTTAACAGGGGCTATGTGTGTCTCTATTGCTTTGAAATTCTGAGCAGACTGAGTGGACTATAAGTACTTAAAGACACTATTTAAAAGCCCTTTTAAGACTCTAGGATCTAAATGCAATAAATTGAACTTTTCAGAAGGTCATTCTGAGTAAACATTTCATATCAATACCAATCATTACATCTAAAGTAAAAAGGACAGTTGACAAGGAGAGCTATTCTATCATCTTTCTTTTGTAATTTGTACTCTTGGTTACTTGGGTTAGGCTTGAACGCACATCTTATAGCTTTTATACATTTTGTTTTGCCATTTGCTGGTGAATCTTTTCTGGTTTCAGTCTTCCCTCTTGTCCCATATTTTCATGTGACTCAAAGACATAGTTGAGACCCACCACTGCCAGCTGTAACAGAACAAGTAAATCCAGGTTCACCTCCACTTAGTCACTGTCAAGAGCAGTGCCATTCCCCAGCTCGCCTGATTTGTAACACTAGACATTTTATATGTTTTCTCCTTTGCCTTCCTCCTCCACTACCAAATCCTCCCTCAGGGTCTTATCATTTCCTTTGTATCTGCAGCAGTCTGATGTCCTCCTGCTTGTCCACTACGTTATGGATTCTCATGGTCCCTCACCTATTAACGCGACAGCCTCCTGGTTGCCTCCCAGATTCCACTTGCTCCCCAGCTAGTCAACACTCCATTGCCAGGATAAGTTTCCACAAATACCATTTTTACCACAGGAACCTCAACATAGAAATTGGTAACAGGATCAACTGTGAATTTTTCAGCCCCCTTTTGAAGTCCATGTAGCAGTTATTTACCACCCTTATTTACCTCAACAACCCATGCCCTTCCTCCCCTTCCCTCTCCCTTGTTCTCTCTCCACCAGCCCCATTTCCCTTGTTTCACGTCTGAAGTTTCCACCCAAGCCACACCTTGCTTGCTGTTCCCAGTACATGACTTGGTGTTTCCAAAGTGCTGGTCCTTTTCAAATGCCATTGCCTTCAGCTGAGGTACCCTCTGCCCACACCACTGTCTGTTCATGCCCTGCAGTACCTACTTCTAAAACTGTGACTTAATTCTTTTGGGAGGCTTTCCACGATTCAATCTGATGCTCACTCCAATGTATTCAGTATCTCCTAAGCACACATATTCCATTTGTATTTCCAGTTGTTACTCTGTGTGTATATTTTCAGGCTGTTCCCTAGATTGGTTTCCCGTCTCCTCCAAACAGGGCATAAACATCTTGAGGATGGAGCCTAACCTAGATTCTTTCTTCCTGCTGCCTTAGTATCAGGCTGTCCACCCAATAAGTATTCAGTGCATGTTAACTGACTTTTGGGTATTGTTTTCTAGACATAAACAAAGGTGAAATCATCTTCACTCTTACAGTATCAGTCAGGGTTTCCACATGGTCTGCATGTAGTTCTTGTCTACCGTCTTCATTGAGACATGCAGTAACCAGGAGGAGACAAGTACACTATGAGTCAAGCACTTGATTCTGTATTTTTGATGGCAGTCCACCTCTACATATACAGAGTACTTGATGTGTACCCAGGAATAGGTTAAGTGCCCCAGTCCCCTTATTCTCAAACTCTTGCACACATCAGAATCCCATGGAGGGCTTGCCAAAACACAGGTCACTGACCCTCACCCCAGAGTCAGTGGGGCCCAAAATTTTGCATTTCCAACAAGTTTTCAAGAGACCACACTTGGAGAACCAGTGCTCTTGGCAATGCGGGGGTGGTCCAAGACATGGTCTCCGGTTTCAGGAGATTTGCAGTCTCCTCAGGAACACAAGGGGAGGCTCAGGAAATGTTTAACAGCAGAAAGTATTGTACTGTGTTTTAGTATTCATTCATCATTCATTCAAGAAGTGGTGAATGAGTGCTAACTACGGGCCCAGCACTGTTCTAGTTTCCAGGGTTACAGTGGTGAACGTGTTAGACAAAAATCACGGGAATTCTTTGGGAAATTTCTCATGGGAAAAATCTCAGAGGAACTCTAGTGGGAGAAAGCAGACAATAAACAAAATAAATAGAATGTATTAAATGTAAGGCAGTGTTACATGGTTGTTAAGGTAGTGTTACATGGGAAGAGGAAAAGCACAAAGGGGATAAGAAATATTAGAGGAGGAGTTGACATTTTAGATTGGTGGTCAGAGAAGGCCTCCCAATTCCATCATTTGTCAAGTATTTGTTGAGTGACTAGTATGTGTCAGGTACTATTATACATGATAGTGATACAGCCATGAATGACACAAATACAAAGCCTTCTCTTATAGAATAGACACACTTATTTCAGAGTTAGGAAAGCTGGGGCCTGGGATAGTAACTTTCATCAACTTATTATGTGACTGTGAATGCCTACTCATTCTCTCTCAGCCTCTCCATCTGTTAAATGGAGCAACTGGGCAAAATGATACTTGAGGTTCTCTACGTCCCTAAGGCTGCAAAATGCTCAGTCCTTTAGGCAATTGGAAATACATGAGAGCCGTGGAGGAAGACTTTGTAGAGGAGGGAGAACTTAAATGGTTTTCATAGTCATACAGGAACTATGGGGTGTGGGAGGTGGGAAGGCAATTTCAGAAGAAGAATAACATGAGCAAAAGCATGGAAGCAAGAATGGGAGCCACATGCTCAATGAAGAGCAAGAAGATCAAAAGGTTCCCATTGTAGAATAGCTGAAATAGTTGGGTAGGAGATCAGTACTCATAAAGATAAGGTGGAGGTCAATTATAGAGTCTTGGATGGGAACCTACTGAAGGGTTTGAGTGATAAAAGATACAATTATACAATGTGGTGTTTTAGGAAGATTAATCTAGCAACCATAGTTAAATCTTCACAATTCGTTATTTTTTTTCCATAAGGTGATCTTTGCATCATGAAGGGTTAAAGCCATATTTTGTTAGATGTCACTGATGATAGATAATATTGTTATCAAACTAATTCTGAGGTCTTTTTCAGCCTAAGAGCCAATGATATTATGTAATTTTCTGTAACAGTACTACCACATACTTGAAATAGCAGCGTGTGACTTTTTAGACTTAGGTTTTGAGAGATTGGGAGATGAATTAGAATAGAAAATTCTTAAACCTTGTACTTTTTTGTATTCCTTGTTATCCCATGAAATTCATGGTTGAATCAATATTTGGTTTATTCTTGGGCAGAGAGAGCAATAATGATAGAGATATTCCTGCATGCACACACACACACACACACATGAGCAGTACTCATTTGGAGTGGCACAAACATCCTTAAAACTAAGCTCTTCCCATCTGCTTGCTTGATCATAACACAAGGTAATATTCTTGGAAATTATCCTATTGTTTTTATCTTTAATCAGCTGAGGAATATCCATATCTGTTTAGTGTTTGTTGTTCTCAAGGCTGAAAGTGGGCTCTTCCTCCTAAAAGCAGTTACTCTGGAAGACAGCAACGATAGGGGTTCATGTTCAGAGTAGACATAAAGATCTAGAGAAAGTCATCTCAGGCAAAAATAAAGGAGTGCATTTTGGATAATGGTTACATAAACACTCCAACCACAGCAAGTTTTACCTTAACTTTCAGATCAGGTTATGACTTCTCAGAGACAATAATGGTGAATTCACCAAATCATGACACATCAAATCCTTAAAACTCTTCATTTTTTAAGGTAGTTTAAACACACTTTAAATATCACCTGCAAAATATTTAACTGTCCCTGTAATGAAATAAGCAGAAGTGACAATGATGGCTATGTTGCAGTGGAAAGTGATTATTTTCCCTTTTATTCTCCAAATCTTGTACAATGGTCCTGCAAGGTCTATTTTAGAAAGTGGCAACTTTCTTCAGAGTTGCTTTGAAAAATGAGGCATACCAGAGAGAAATCTCTGTGTTGCTTTTTTTGAAGGATAGCCACAACAGCTGAAATGCCTACAGAATTGAGGGGCCATAGAACCAAAAATGTTCCTGGGTCACAAGGGCAATTATTATTCCCTTCTACCTATGTATGATTCTTTCTGTATTTCTTTTTAACAAACAGGAGATGGAGAATTGTCGTGGGAACACTCTGATGGCGATATCTTCCGGCAGCCTGCCAACAGAGAAGCAGTAAGTGTGAATAGCTCAATTCAATTTTTTAAGAAGTCCAAAACCAATGACAAAATTAGAAAATCACTGTTTTGGAACCTCGTATGAATTCATTTTTCAATCCTGAATCGTTCCCCTAACGAAGAGCAAATCAATGGTAAACCCGTAAGAGGAAAGGTCAATTGCAAAATTTGCCAAGCGGAATCAAGCTGTGGTCCCCAAGCCTGGGATGACTCACAGTGCAGTATAATTGAAAGAGGCACACGGCAAGCCACCTGGTATGGGGTTTAGAAAGTGCACAGCACTGCCTGTCTAGCCCACGTGTTGTCCACCAATCCCTCGGGAAAAAGAGAATTGACCATGAATTGAATCATGTGTTATACTGGGCCTGACTTCTAATTTAGGGTATCAGAGAACTCTGAGGATGGACTAATTACCAGATCACATTAAACAACACATTCTGTTTGCATTCAATATAATAATACCATTTTAGTATTTAAAAAGTCCTTTTTTGAGATGCCTACTGAACTATTTCCAATTAACATAACACAATGCCTGGATTTTGTTTTGAATTATTTCACAAGAAAGGGAATTGTGGGGGTGGGGGTAGACGGGAAGGTAGATGGAAAAATAGAGTGTGAGTAACTCAGATAATTCAACACTCCACAGCATCAGCCCTAACTTTCCTCTCTCCATGGCTACTATCCCAGAAACGTCATAAAGTGACCCATTTCTAAAACCATTTTTCTTCCCTTTCCTCAGATATTTGAATGGCATCATCACCAACCTGTACCCATTTGGGTGCACTGTATAACTGGCAACCAGGGTCAGGACATGAACACAATCATAGACTTGGCCCTTAGGAGCCCTTCTTCTAGATTAGAAATTGGTAGCCTTTTGGGTTGACTTGCCAAATCTTTTTCTATAAGGAAGGCAGGTCACTACCCCTGTCCTCACTCATGAGGACCTTCTGTGGCTTTGTAAGGTAGGCCAGCCCATCATTTGGCAGAGGCACTTTGAGCATGTCCATGTTAACCACTCCCATGCTGCCTCCCCCTGAGCCTTCGACTCTGAGTCATACAGGTGGAAGAGAGGAAAGGTATCAGGCCGGATTCTCCTTCACCCTGCAACGTCTCCTTTCCATTCTCCGCGCTAATCCCAGAATGACCATTACAAGTAGGCATCTCTGTATGTATAGTAATAGCATCTCTTATTCCTTGGTATTTTGAAGTACTTAACAAAATAACATCCCTCTCTAAAAACTGTATGTCTAAGTCGAACACTTCAAACTTGTTAAAGTCTGAAAAGATGTTCCATTTCAAGGAATCTACCAGACTAACGGACTTACAGAAGAGTACAGAATGTACACAGGCATTCATGGCACATAAATGGGCATTAATTGTGCCCTTGTAGAAAAAAGTGAACAAGGCATTTAGGGCAGCATAATTTTCATAAGAGCGAAACAAACAGAGACAACCTAAGTGCTAGCAATAGGGGCTTGGTCAAACACACCCAATCTATGGGACATGATGCAGTTGTTAAAATGCAGTACATCGGAATGTAGAAACCAGTGGAGTGATCTCGAAGATACATTATGCAAATAAAACAAAGTGCAGGATATAATTTATACTATCATTTGTTTATGTAAAAATCCTGTGTGTGCATGTATGTAAATGCACATGAAACGATCTGGAAGGTCACACACCATGCTAAAAGTGGTCATCTTAGAGGGGTCCAAGTGGGCAGGAGGAAAGGTAGAGTTTGATTTTGTACTTTATGTCTTCTGTATTATTTGATGTTTTTCAGTGAATGTGAAATAGTCTTATAATAAAGAAAATTTCAGTGATTTTTAGGCCTTAGGAGTTAGTTCTCCACAGGCATTGGCTATAAGGCAAGAGTCTAGGAATTTTAGGGTCAGCCTGAAGGTAGTGTGTATGTGAGGAAGATGTTGATAGGGGACATAATAAAATGATCAGTACAGACATCACAGTGTTCTTAGGCCATGCTTCCCAGTCAGCACATATGTCACTTCCGACTCGCAGGCCCCCAGCTTGCCAACACCCTCAGTGGTGAGAGGAAGTCATTTATATTTGCTTTATTCTCTAGTCATATTATTTTCTAGACTTTGCCATTTTGAAATGAATGTAGAAGTGTCATCGGTGGGGTGGAGAGTAATATTCTGAATATCTCAAACAAGCAGCACTCCTGCAAGAGAGGGTGGGCTTTCCAGTTTGTGGGGTAAGAGACCCTGAAGAAAGAGTTCCTCTGTCCAGCTCTATCTGCTTTATAGTCAGTGAGATTCCTTCCCGATTCTGACAGGAGATGATGTCATTCTCCATTTTCTGTGCTGTGAATTTCCTCTTTTTCTCAGCCTCAATTTTAAAAATTGTGGTAGGATGCTGAGAGTGGCTAAATTAGTGGCTGTCAACCAGGTGCCACTCTCAGCCAAATTTAGGTCTCCATCACCTGAAGCTGGTTCTCTTAGCCCCCGACACTGTGCACTGTGGCCACCTCAGCAATCTTGCTGGTGATGCCATTAATTAGCCTTTCTTCTTGACTCCGTCTCATGCTACCCCTGACTCCATTCCTTGCCTTTCAGCTTCATTGTTCTTCCTCAACTGGTGGCGATAGGACTGAACTTAATCTAGTACTTCCTGTAGCAAAAGAGGGCAGGTACAGAATGCAGGGCCCTGAAACAGTTACCGATTCTTCAAAGGAGTTCAAGACCTATCTTCAGAAACAAACATTTGTGCCTGGTAGACCAAACTGTCCAGATGGTTCCACTTAATTATTATAAATATTTTCCTTTGTTCTAAAAGGGTAGATATTATGGGATATGATTTGAATAATAAATAGCACCTGTAGTGATGGAAAAGTATGTGCCCAGCACATAGTAGGCACCCAGCAAATATGTGTTGAATGAATGGGTGTAGAAGGCAAAGTGAAATGTGTGGATGTTGGGAAGGGTAGTTTTTCATTAATGTTAATGCACAGGAATTTGTCCTGAATCAGAAATTCTTCAAATTTGTTGTTTGTTCTTGACCAGCTAAAAATTCGAAGGTAGGAGAACCCTTCTGAATATTTTGTGCAGACCCCACTTTCTGCACGGGAGAAGAAAGGCAGCCCCAACAACAAATTCCCAATTCAGTAGACTGCGCCTTTAGTAGACTGTTCCAATTTTCAGGGAACCATGAAAACCTCAGTTCAACAGAAACCCCGCTGATTGGTTTATTTTGCTAAGTGGGCTGTAAATTGTCAGCTTTCCAAGTTTTACAGAGTGCACAGGAAGAACCAGTGGGTCATCAGGGGGAGTGTGTGTGTGTGCTTGACTGGCAAGTGGGGAGGGAGAAGTAGGCACAGGGTGGAAAGCCAGAACACGAAAGCAAGCATAGTTTTGTTTTAGACAACAGCCAAACTCTGATTTTGTCCCCAATACATGACTTAGAGATTTACCATTGGAAAAATGAATGGGTTTGAGATAGAAACAGTTTGAAACAGATACAAATCCCTGTCTCATTCCCATTGGCAGAACAACAGTTTGGGAAGGAAGCTGGCTTAGATAGGGAAACTGCCTCCCAAAGAAGGGTAGTCCTCGGTTACTGGCGACCAACATACAGTGTGCTTAGGGCTGTGTGGCATGTGTGGATCGCATTCTGAAGACATTTTTTAAATTACACTTTCTCTTGTGATAACTGTAGATTCACTTGCCATTGGAAGAGGTAACAGAGAGACCCCGTTTGCTCTTTACCAAGTGTTCCCGGGCAGTAACATCTTGTAAAACTCTACTGCAGCATCGCCATCATGAAGGCACTTTGAAGGCCCTTTGCGAACTCTCGTGCTTGCTGACTCTCTGCTAGTAAAACCCTGCTATCTCAGACCTTAGATCAGGGAAAGAAGAAATTCCTGGGCAACTTTTACTGGGGCAGGAATTTTCCAACCCCAGAGAACTGTGTAAGAACCACCTCAAAAGCCTGACATATTTATCAGTAATTCATATAATACCAAAATATTGAGCAAAATAAGTGAGAGCACAGCTATAGGGTCATTTCCACCTAACTAGTTTGACCTGCCCTCTCAAGCAACCTATTCACAGCCGGTTTTTCCAAGATCAGCTCCTGTTTCACTTACATCTCTCCAAGGTGGTGAGCCTTTTTCTCCTTTGCTCTAAGTTACAAGGTCACAATGGCCCCTCCTACGCCTCCTTCATCTTTTTAAGGGAGTGACTCTGAAAGAGCCATTACTTTTAAATCAAAATCACACATCACCACCCCACCCCAGGCCGAAACAGATGATCCTTTATGTCAGTGATTCTGAGCCTTGGCTTCAGATTCAGGTACCCTGAGGCATATATCAAAATCCTGATGCCCATGCCTCACACCCCAGCCCAATTCCACCCGAATCCCTGGGGGTGGGGCCCAGGTATCAGTGCTTGTAGAGCTCCGCAGGTGGTTCTGTGGGCAGCTGAGGCAGAGGCCCGTGCTTTGTGTGGATGGGGACACCCAGCAGCCTGCTGTCCCTGAAAGAACTTTCCTTGGGAGCAGCTTTTAGCCAGATGCCTGTGGACAACTGAGCTTGGCCAGACATCGTCTCACCCACTTATTCCTCCTCTTCTTCCTCTTCCTCATCCTATTCATCTTCCTCTCTCCTTTCCCCGACTCCCACTCTCCTGCCATCTCCAAAAACTCAACCTTCATTGTCACCCTGATTCAAATCCGCCCTCCTCCCTGGCCTCAGTTTCTCTGTCTCAAAAATAAAAGACTTACACAAGGTGAGGTGGGGGGGACCAACTGGTCTGTAATAGGGCCTCTGATCAAAATCCCTGAGGGTTTTCTTTTTTGTGTTGAATCGTTTTTCTACCCTTACTGGTATGTCCAGGGTCTTGAGTCCCTGGTACCAAAGGACAGCTTTTCATTTTATGCTCACCCTCATGAATCAGAGAACTTCCTGTACTTGCAGCTTACCCCAGGTCAGCCACCTTCCCTCTCAAACTCTAGCCCTGTTGAACTGCCTTCTTTTAGCATTAGTAGGACACCCACCAGCCAAACTATCCTCTCTTGTGTTCCTTTGGCAGAACTTTGCCAAACTCCAGAAAGGACAGAATAGTCTGTAATGGCCTTTGTGAAATGTTGAGTGAAAAAGACATATGAGCCATTGTGGGAATGAAAAAATATTTTCACTGAGAATCCCATCTGTGTGCATGATAATAAATTGATGCAAATTCTTATTTGTGTGTGAGTTTTTACAGCAATGCACAGCACTGGCTCTTCTTAGGTAAAGGGAATAATGTTCCCTTTCCCTTACTGCAGCTCCTCTTCACTCTCCCATTTTCCCACCAATGCCTGCCCCACCAAGAGAGTAATAATAATTCCCAAAGCTAAACCTGTGATGTGTGTGTCTATGGAACATAACTGTAATAAATAACTCATGGAATGGCAGGTTATGGGACCCCATAACCACCTTCTCAAGGTTCCCTGCTATTTCTATCACTGACTATAAGGATCTTCCTTTTTAATTGTCTATGAGATTTTTTAAGGGGTCCCCTCCTTTACACTAACAATTGCCTCTGAAACACAATGATAATGGGCTGTAAGCCTTAGGTTCTGTTCTTCATTCATCCTGCTCTCTCTATACCGACTCTAACCTCAGCTCCTGGGAGAGGGCATGGGTAGCAGAACAGTGGTCTCATCATGTATCTTGAATGCTTATTGAAGGAGCAATGACTGAATTGTTTGTACTACAAGACTCTGTGCTTTTATTAAGGACCAAGCTTTTGTTTATTCATTCAGTAAGTGTTTGATGAGCACCTTCTAGATGCTAGAAACTGTTTTAGCACTGGTGATATTGCAGTGAATGAAACAAAGTCCTTACCTGTCTGCAGCTGACATTCTAGTACCGTCATGCATAGTCAGTCTTTCATCTACAAGGTGTCTAGGGTATCTGTGCCCTGCTCTATGACCCCATGCCATTGCCTGTGTTTGGAATCTCAGTACATCTTTCTGGGACTGTGCTTGACTCCTGCCTCTTCCTCCTATCCAGTTCACCCTATACATCAGGGTTCAGTGACTGGAAGCACAGTTCTGATGATTTTCCTGCTTTTAAAACAACATCCCCCAAAAGCTTCCACAAAAGCTTCACCTCTATGGCCTGCCAAATTAAGTCCTCCCTCTTAGACTGTCATTCAAAGTCCTCCATGATCTGGCTCCAACCCACTTCTGGAATATTACCCTTCAACTGTTCTCTTTTATGGACTGACTCTGTGTTCTCTGCTACACCTTCTCCACTTGAAATCTCTGCCTGGAATATTCCTCACCAACTCTGCCTGGTAAAAGTCTACCCACCCTTCATGGCCCAGGTCACAAACCCTCCCCAACTAGAAGCTCTCTTTCTCTTCCTCGTATGCACTGCATTTTATGCTTCTGCAGCCTTGGTTACATTCTGCCTCATGCTGCAAGCTGCTACCTTAACTCTTAAACCCAAATGTGAGATTCTCAGGAGCAGGAAGGACACTTTACCCATTCGGCTGTTGGCTCCCTCAAGAGCTTGTCTGTGAATTGAATCCTGTCTTCTGCAAGAAGAGAGAAAAACCTCAGCATGTTGCCAGTGCATCCCCATTTCTCTGTTGGCATGGGTGGACATGCAGTTAAGATCAGAGCTCATCGCTAAGAACCATCAAATGCCTTCTAATGTCTGTAAGTCCATTCCTGCCTTCTCATTGGTAGATTTTGGGGTCTGAATTTGTCCTTGTCATTTTAGAGACATTCTTACCACCGCTCTCACTATGATCCTCCACCAAGCCGACACGCTGGAGGTCTGCCCCGCTTTCCTGGGGCCAGAAGTCACCGGGGAGCTCTGATGGATTCCCAGCAAGCATCAGGCACCATCGTGCAGATTGTCATCAATAACAAACACAGGCATGGACAAGGTAAGAGGCATACCATGTCCACGTCAGGGATTCAGCATCCCTAGTCTTTGGATGGCTGGAGCTGGGAAGGGGCCCTCTCTCCCATGTATATCATACCTTTGCATGTGGATTGCTCACCATCAGGCCTACAAAGTGAGTATGGATAGGGGACTCTAGGAGACTCTCAGAACTTCCCTAAATATAGCCCAAAGAGCATAGTTTATATTTCAGGTGTATCTGTCTTTTATTAGGACAAATGGCAAGAAAACAGCAAACCTAATATAGCCTCCGGCATTTTTTCAGTTGCTCCTGGGGGTTGAAGGCTGTTTGGGAAAGTTCATTAGGTCTTTAATAGAATGAGTTGTTTGCTTTCCAGTAGGTGCCCAATATTCAAGGTACTCAGTGCCGTATGCTTTTGAAGCTCTTATCCACACTTAGAAACAGCAATTTTCACACCACAGTGCACCCTAGATTCTCCTAGGGCTCTTGATGAAGATATACATTCCATGACCTACACTCAGAGATTCTAATTCATATGAGGAAATTGTCTTTAGAAGTGAGTATCCAGTAAGAAATCCAGAAACCTCCTGGCTTCAAACTGGGAGGACTAATGAGGTTAACACTGACATGCAGCCCACTTAGTCGACCAGCTGGCTGCAGCAGGCGCCCACTCACATCGGCAGCCAGCCCTTCTGGCAGAGTTCTCTGGCCTCCCCATCCCAGTAGTGGGGGTCGGGGAAGGAGAAATTCAATCAAACAATTGACTGCTGCTTACTTTTTTAGGCATCATGACAACCAGCTCTTTGAGCAAGAGCTCAGCTGGTTCCTTTTTATGAAACCACAAACATGTTTTGTTTCCTTTAAAGGAAAAACAAATCAAAGGCTGTTCTCTGAATGGGTTAAAAGTAATAAATTATTAAACCAAATGATTGAATAACATGGGTGAAAAACAATCCGTTACAAAGAACTCCTACTATAAATCTCAACAAAGCTAGTCAAGCCAAAGCTAGTTGATCACATCTGTTACTAGTTAGATGTAAATTTCAGATTACAGATAAAAAAAATTAAATTGCTTTTGAAACTAACAGGCTTAAAAGAAGAACATTCAAAATAAAACTATTAATAAAAAATGGTGATATATTAGAAGAATTGGAAATATTTACTATCGATCTGGGTTTGATTTGAAATTTATTATTGTTAAATTCCAAGGCATTCTGATATGAATTTATGAGAGGAGGAGGAGTAGGTAAAGATGCAGTTTGATTTTCAATCCTAAATTGCCTCCAATAGATTCCATTTGCTCTGAAGGTATTTCAAAGCCTTAAAAAAACGTGCAGGGGAAATGGACTTTGAAAATCTTAAATCCCATAATTTCCACAGGCCTCTTCACTTTGAGGCGGAGGCTCATCCCTTGATTTTCTTGGTGTCCTATAAAAGCCCCAGCTGGTTTACATTTATTCATTGCCCCCATTGATTTGGATGCCGCAGTTCTTTCCTGCCCTTTCTATTACAGTTCACTGGAGAATCACTTGCTCCCACCCCCAATTTCCATTGCCCCAGCTGGATGATTCAAAATCATCTTGAGAATTTGCTAGTGAGGAGAAGGCTGCATTTCTCTCCGGACAATTGACCTCCCTCCCCCATGTTGCACTTCAGAGCGTAGGCTCTTATACACCCTAGATTGTACCCTTAGTCCAAATGCTTAGGGGAGAGGGAACCTAGTGCTGGCTACTTGGGCCCTTTGCTAGAGTCAAAGAGGAGAAGTAATAGGACTCCACCGTTTTGAACTGGAGTCCAGCCTAAATTTTCTTGAAGCAGACTATGTACACATTTGGTGGCACTGTCTGGAAGGGCATGTCACTGTCTGGGGAGGAGAGAAAACAGGCAGGAGAGACAACACATTGAGTCTGCCCTGTCATGTGGTTCGTCCATAGCACTGAGCCTCTCAGTTCAGGTATCAAGCCCCTATTCTAGCTCACTATAAGGTTGGGAGCTCCTCTGCTCCAGGTTCTCAGGTTCTGGGAAATCCTTGCATAGAGTGACCCGTGAGAGTACCTAGTACTCTAGCAGCTCTTGCAAAGGACCGGAAAAAGCAGCCAACAACATCCATATTTCCTAATGCGACCCAGTGGACTCAATGAGAAAGAAATAGCCCAATGATTCATCCTTCTGAGGCCATTGTCTCCCAGCCAAATCAGTCAGTTCCTAGAAACGCCCCAAGTGGGGCTATTTCTTCCACCCTAGCCCCACCTTAAGTGCTACAACCCACCCTAGAGATGATGTTGATTGGGGTGCCGACAGGGCTCCCTGGGTATGATGAAGTGATGGGAATAATGAGAAACACACCCAGTCCCAGTTATGGCCTGAGTCTCCAGAATGTCTCAGCACTTTGAATGAGGGAGAGAACGGATGCACAGATCTCCCCACTCGCAGCCCGGTGCAGTTCCTATCCAGGAACCTTGCTCCATGCCTGATGGCAGGAGCCAGATATATTTTTGTTGGTTTACATTGAAGGATGTTACTGTGGCCCCTTCCCTTCATAGGCCCCTCAGCCTGCAGCCCAGACACTTGCTCTTGAAAGGTCCCTCAGAAAACATGGAGCCAGTGACTTGACTTCCATTCAACAAGTGTGAGACCATCAAAGGATATTCACGGGGCAGGCAGTGATTGGCTTTAGCCAAATCTCTAGAGCCACGATGAGGTGTGGGACAGAAGATACTGCCTGAAGATTGGAGTCTCAAAAGGCTACCCTTCACCACTTACCTGGGAGGTGTGGGTCCCTTTCCTCTCCATCTCATCTGAGCACCTTCCTTACCATGCCCAAGAGTAGGCCAGCACCATGAACTCCATACCCTCTGTGTTCGTACATCAAACTCTCATAGCATTTGATATTCTCAATAGATTTGCATAAGGTTCTGGAAAAAATCAGCCCTTTGGGAAGAGCAGTCATTTCTGCATCTAGTCTCCCTGGAGAGCAAATCTCTCTGGGAAATTTTCATGCCTAGAAGTCTATCCACTTGGGCCACACAAATCCTTTATGGAACTGTAGGCATTAATACTACATAATACTAGAAGTTCCTTATTAGATACTCAGGAAAGAGAGAACTTTGCTTTCATGCGTTCATTCATTCCTCCATTTAAAAAAATATTTACTGATGGCCTGCTATGTGCCAGACACTTGTGAGCATTCACAGGCCACTGCTGAAGGACCTGAATAGTTGCTGATGGTAGAACCAAGGCCCAAGCTGGGTTTTTTTGGTACAGAGGCTGCTCTGTAAATATATCTCCACAGCCATGAGAAGAACAAAAGATGCTCGATGCATTAAGGGGTTGAGGGCTTGGTTTCTGAGCACAGGGGCTCATCTCAGCTCTCTAGCCTTATATTTCCAGTCCTGTGTTGTCTTCCAGTGTGTGTTTCCAATGGAAAGACCTATTCCCATGGCGAGTCCTGGCACCCGAACCTCCGGGCGTTTGGCATTGTGGAGTGTGTGCTGTGCACTTGTAACGTCACCAAGCAAGAGTGTAAGAAAATCCACTGCCCCAGTCGATATCCCTGCAAGTATCCTCAAAAAATAGACGGAAAGTGCTGCAAGGTGTGTCCAGGTAAAAAGGCAAAAGGTGCGTTGGTTGGAAGCCCTGCCTTTGGTTGACTGAGATCCACATAGTCATTGTCAGTGTTCTTTGAGCATCAGAAACATAACCAACCTGCCATATCACTGTAGTGAAATAGTTCTATTAATAATGAACTCCATTCTCTCCTCTCTTGAAGGGCTGATAAGGTGGTTCCTTGGAAGAAATTGCTGCTCAGAAATGGGCTGGGGATTTTCTTGTCTGTACCTTTGACCCGTAGACCCTGAAGGGCCAAACTAAAGCCTTGCTTTTCTAAATAATAATAGAAGAAGTCAGTTATGGTGATTATTGGGAAGAACAGTAGAACCTTTCATGTACATCACTGTTTTTCTCATCAAAGCACAATCACATCCATTACCTTTTTGAGACAGGGCAAGACAGATGAGGTATGGTGGAAGGAGAATGGTTCTGGGCCTAATGTGAGTTGCTGTGGGTAACCTTGGAAATGTGTCAGATCTGTTCTGGCCTTCATCAGCCTCATCTGTACAATGAAAAGTTTGGAACAATTCTTCTCCAGGCTCCCTTCCAACACTATAATTCTATAATGATATTATGGTTTCTCTATTAAAGATAAGAAAACTGAAGTGTATAAAGGAGAGCGACTTGCCCTGAGCCACACTAATAGATAATAAAACCAAGGCTTGGAACCCAAGACACTTCCAGCCTATTTTCTTTTCCAGGCCAGTAGAAAATATTAACTGATTTTTTCAAAAAAGCAAATTGATTACTTAAATGGTGGTTTTAACACATGAGCTAGGTACAAATATAATCTGTAGTATTGGAGTTGACAGAGTACGGGATTGGTAAGCAAACATTCTGTGAGTAGCAGGCAAACATGAACTTAGTCAATGTCTGTTTTTTGAGCATCTTCATGTAGGCCAATAGTCTGAGCTTGTCTACACATTGGGATCTCCCAGGGAGCTTCTAAAAACTACCTGTGTCCCATCCCCAGAGATTATGATTCAGTTGGTCTGAGGTATGACCTGGGCTTTGGAGTTTTAAAAGATCCCCAGGTGATATAAATGTGCTGATAAGCTTGGGAACCGAGGCTGTAGGCCCAAGGTGGTTTATGGTCTTGCTACTGAAAGTGTGGTTTGCGGACCAGCAGAACCTGGAAGATAGTTAGAAATGCAGACTCTCTGGTCTCACCCCAGACCTGCATCAGAATCTGCATTTTAACAAGATCCCACAATTGATTCCAGTACACATTCAAGTTTGAGAAGCCTTTATTTATGACACAAAGAAAATCTTAAGGTAATGACCCTTATCTTCCAGAGTGAACAGGGGACAGGGTGTGGATAGGAAGGACAAGCTATCTGATCGGGAGTAGAGAACTGGGGCATTAAGTTGATGAGGAACTGTACTCATTAGGGGTAGGGAGATAGCACATTCTGAGGATGGTATGGACATGGGGGCCACCCAGCTGTGATGACCTGTAATGACTTCCAAGTCTGTGATCTCACTGGATCCCCAAACACTTTAGTGTCATTTAGGAATAATTCCACCAACACAATTTTCTCTTTGGTCAAGGGTCTAACGCCTGTAGTCATACAAGATAACAAGACAATTTCCTCCCACTATATAACATGCCAATTGGAGCTTCAGACCTTCCGACCAAATCCCATTTCATTGTGTGCTTAGGATTTTCTTGATGCAGGAGATTCAATAAGAAGTGACCAAATCAAAAAGGTGTAAGAATGGGATACAGAACAGGCATTGCCACTTAAATAACTGGCCTCTCAGGTTGGTAATATTTATTAAAACCTTGATGTTCATACTCTTTGGCTAAGCAGTTGCACTCCTAAGATCTTAAGAAAGTAATCAGAGAAACACAGATATGCAAAAACAAGGGTTTTGCTGCAATGCTGCTCACAGTAGTGGAAAATTAGAAGCTGTCTGACAGTCCACCAATATGGTTAAACAAATTACGGCGCATCTGTACTGTGGCATATCATACAGCCATTGAAAATCATCACATGCCAAGATTTAATGGCATGGAAAGATGTTTGCAATGTATTTAGTAAGTACAAACAGAAGCTGCAAAGCAAAATGTGTATCATGATCCCACTTCTGAGTTTAAAAAGAAAGCACTTATAATACACTTAGACAAAAAGACAAGACTGGAAGAGCACATGGCAGAAATGTTAACAAGGGCTGTCTTTGGGTTACTGCATTACAGGTAATTCTTATTTTCTTCTTTTTGTTTATCTATTTTCCCCCCTAAATTTTCAACAATGTGTATTATTTTTGTAATTAGAAAAAATAATAAAAGTTAATATTTTAAAAATTGCCCTCCAGAATTCCAGTTGGCAATATATCAAGAGCCTGATTGACTCAGCCTGTTTCTCTGGCAAGGCTGCCTTCCCACTCTGCTCAGGTGTGTGGAGATGGAGGGCATATTGGGGCACACAGAAGGAGCATTTCCATCCATTCTGTGTGCCTGTCTTTCAGTGAGCCAGACAGGGCTGCAAACTGACTCCTGTCACGTGGCCTAACAGGTATCACTATCCATAGAGGCCCGGGCACCTGCTGCACACACTCAGAAAATGCAGGGCATCAGAGGGTGGGCATTCAGTCATGCAGTTCAGTCTGGAAGTACAATCTGTGTGTGAGGCACTTCCAAGTGCTGAGAACAGAGGTGAACATGACAGATGAAGGCCACATGCTGGCGCTGTCCTTACATTCTAGAAGGGCAAAAAAGACAATGAACTCAGAGCAATAGGGAAATTCTAGGTAGGGATGAGTACTGTGAAGACGACAGGATCGGGTGATAGTGAAGGGGCCCTTTGAAAGGAGTGGTCAGGGAAGACTGCCCTGAGGAAGTGATACTTGAGTAGAGTCCTGAACGATGTGAAGGGTGGAGAAATGAGAAGATTGTAACATCACCAGACTTTTAGAGAGTAATACATGACACAGAGAACAAGGAACACAGAGGGAGGAGGGAAGATCGGCGGAAAAAATGAACAGTAAATTCAGTTGTTCATGTTGAGAAGGGAAAAAGAATACATAAAATTCCCTGATGATCCAGCCAAAAGTTTCATTATAAGAGATGACTGCAGGCTCCTCTAGCAACAAACTGGGGCCAAAATAAGGGATGCGAGTTTCAGCTCTCTGTCTTGCCTTTGCTATGGAAGAGGGTGGCCTTGCCCTGCCTGTCAATGGCCACCTTCAGGGTTGTGTGGTACTTCCACCTCCTGAAGTTTCCTCTGTCACCTCTCACTCCCCCACACCAACCCATACCACCTGATACCTGGAAGTGCCATAATTACACATCCTTCTGGGTCACAGCGTAAAAAGCCACTGTTAAGGTCTAAAAGTTTCCTGGGCTGGGATAATACATCTCCTTCATCAGTCATCCCCACTTCCATAGGGAAATAGTTTCCCCATTTCTTATTTCTGGAGCACTCAAGACAGGAGCATTCTCATGGGATGTGGGAATGGCCAGAAATGACTTCAAGTATGGCATTCTTCTCTGGAAGGAAATGAAAGTAGGTGAACACAGTGAGATCTGAAAGCACCTTGAGGGAGGAGGCTGTGGAATGAGGAGGATGTTGCCGAGTAGGTAGTTCTGTTTATTCTTAATATTTTCAAGTGCCAGCCAGGGTTGAGTCACTAATGGTTTCGTTGTTTGTAGAGCCATTCCAGTGAGTACAACATCTCTTGGAGAGGAAGGGGTGGTGGTACAGGGCAACACTTCAGGACACTGGGAGGACATGAAGCATATTAGAGGTATTTCCAGTGTCATCACGGATTTTATATGGCAGTTGTAGCTGTAGCTGGTCTGAAGCTGGTAAGCAAAATATAGCAAATGAACTCAACTCTCATTCTGAAGGTTATAAATAATAGAGGTCCCCATATACTCAGTGGCTACCTTTCCCCTCCACCCGTTTAAGTGCTAGCACACATCCCTTCATTACTTAAGCATATCACCAAAAAAGACTTGCCCATCAAGTAATTAAATAACTAAAAAGAAGAATAAAAGGAGAAAGGAAACTGGATTCTAGGGTAATCTACAAACTGAGTAAGCCAACCTGGGATCTTGAAGAGAAGACCTGGCTCTGTCCTGAGGGTGGTGGGGTGGGAAAACTAATCAGGTCAGCAAGAGACATGCAGTAGCACATTGGATTACAGCCTTTGGGCCAAAGGCATCTGACTGGTTAACAGTGAGTCTTCCTGATTAGAGTCACAGATCCCAAGCACTCAGCCCCCAATGGTGTCATCAGATTTTCCTATAGATAGCTCCTGCACATAGAGTTTTCAGGGTGTTCATAGCTTCCCTTTGTGGTTCCTGATTTGAGTATACACTTTAAATACACTGGAGGGTGCCAATTACAAGGCCAGCAAACAAACCTAACTCATGGATTACTAGCCAGAAGAAACATTTTCTGAAAGGGGGGCTGAGGAAAGAGGAGGGTGGAGCAGAATGGGGAGCATCAAGGAGCTGGTACTTTTATGCCTAGAAGCTGAAATCTAGCAGTTTCATTTATACTTTAAATGATCCATAGTTGAAGGATTTCACCATTTTTTTGTGTGTCTCTCCCAGCCATTCATTTGGCACAGCACACACATGACTAATCTGACATCTAGGTTTTGGCCCTGCTGCTGATCCGATATTATCATTCCCCTTACAAACAAATCAAAGAGCATTCAGAAATGTCAAGCCAATTTGGATAGAGCCTTTGGGCAAGTATATGCACATAAATGAGTGTCATAAATGTTTTCTAAGTATACCTAAGTGATGTCAGGAAAGTTAACGGAGGCCCTCTGTCAGTCCATTCCCTGGGTCTCTATTGGCAACAGAGCTAGACACACCATGATCCTGACCCAGGATGGAAAACCCTATGTTCCCTTCATTGCCCAAGAGATTTGTACCTGGCCACCACATTCTTCCTCTTCATGCAGGTCCAACTCTCATATGGTGGTGAGTGAATCCAGGTTAGTTTGTGGGCCAGTGTTCTGTGGAACTATGGATTCTGTCATCACGTAGGCTTAAACCGAAGGTCATGTGCTCCGTTGTTACTTGGTGACGGTTACAGGGGCAGCCTAAGCTGAAACAATGAAATATGTGGGAATTTCTCTCCCTGTAGGAATATTCTTGTTGATTGCCCACTTTTGATAAAAGATCAGGTGTTACAAATAATGAGCTACATAAATGCAGAAGTCGCTTCTAATTTTTGGAAAGCTGTGACAAAACCCTGCTTGCTTCCTGATTCCAGAAGAGCTTCCTGGCCAAAGCTTTGACAGCAAAGGCTACTTTTGTGGAGAAGAAACAATGCCTGTGTATGAATCTGTGTTCATGGAAGATGGGGAGACCACCAGAAAAATAGCCCTGGAGACGGAGAGACCACCTCAGGTAGAGGTCCATGTGTGGACCATTCGGAAGGGTGAGCAAGACAACATTACTTCCTTGTTACTTCTTTTTGGTAAGGGGCCCACTGGGAAGGAGGGGAAGACTCACCTTCATTTTGCTTCAGTCTGTTCCTCTGTTCGGGTCAGAACTTTCCCTGATTGCTTAGAAACTAACACATGACTACTACCACAGTTGTTATTATGGCTTTTAATTTTAACCATGGCCAGGGCTAAAAAAGTTAAGTCTTGACCCTTGGGGTTTGTTGTCTTTCTCACAGCACCAAAGGCCTGGAGGAGTGGTTTTCAACCCTGGCTGCCCGTCAGAATCATCTGGGAGAGGTTTTTAAAAATACCAGATGCCTGGGCCTACCCCCAGAGGTTCTCATCAGTTGGTCAGGAATGGAGCCTGGGCCAAAGTGTTTTTCTTAAAGCTCCTCAGGTAATTCTGCTGTGCAGCCAGTGTTGGAAACTCTCAAGCTATCCTTTCTGATGGTGGTCTACCATCCTTTCCCATACAGAGCTCCCCGAACATGGAAATCCAGTCATTCGGTGCAAAGTCAAGTCTCTCAAATCATGCTATGTACTCTGAGGCAGGACAAATTTAAAACATGCCCTCAAGAAGATCATACAGTCTCACTGGAGAAACAGTCCTAGTCCTGACCTTCAGTTCCCTCTCTGATTACTCTCACTGCCTACCACAGCAAGCCACCATGTGTTCATTGTGATCCTACAGCCATACAAACCCTCCCAGAGATACAAGACTTGGGCTGATCTAGTCTGGTCAGGTTTTCTAGGGATCCAAGCACAGAGGAAGTGATGTGCATCCCGTGGAAGGCTCCAGAGTGTTCAGGTTTTCATATGCTTCAGCATCATACGAGGAGCGGCTTTAAAGTAAAGCACAGCTTCCTGACTGCATCCAAAAGAGGTGAATTCAGCAGGTCTTGGGGAGGGGCTCAACATGTGACACACGGCCATAGCCAGGTGATTCTAAGCAGGTGGCACTCAGACCATCCTTGGAGAAGCAACTGCTCTAGTTCTTGTGAGGGCCTCTTTCCTTTTTCACAACCACCTTTCTTTCCCGAAAGGATGAGCTCCTCTCCCTACCTGTTAAAAATATGCTAGAGCACACACACATTCTCATCCATGTATGCTTGTGCTTTCTACCTAGGAGTGTCGATTTTCCATCTCTAACTCCCTAGCTCCTCTGTGACTGGCCACCTAGGCCTAAGCACTGTTCTGTTGACTTTCCTAGCAGTGGGCCCTCTGTTTGTTGCCCCACATCTCACCCCACAATGGTGTGTGGATGTTTTCAGCTTGCTTGTGTAGCATCTGAATAACCTCCTGTTCATAGTGCTAGGCAGTCAACATGTTTGCTTGGTGAGCAGAGAAAACCCCAGGCCTCATCTACATTGCTCCCTATACACCTCTTGGGAGTTGTTTAAGTGGGCTGGTGACATGGTGCTCTTTACCTGCAAGGCAGGTTTCAGCTGTTTCCATGTGATTCTGACAAAGGCTAGTCAGGCAAAGTTCAGACTATGGGAGCCCTTTTGTTTTAACTCCCCCCATTTTTTATAAGGGAAGCTAAAGGAGCCACAAATATTTCCCAAAGAAAAATATGCTCTTCCATGAGTTCAAGAACAGGAATGGCTTCTCCATTTCCACAGCCTGTCTGCAGCCCGCTGCTGGCTCTCACTGCTTAGCCAGGAGGGCAGCCCAGTGGTTTGGCAAGGGCGTGGTGTGCCCAGACTTGGGGCAAGCACAGAATTTCCAGTACTGCCTTTGGCTGTAGAAGCTCCAACCAGCACCCATGCTTAATTCCATGAGGCTCTCCCTAGGAGGGAATCCCTTGCTCTGCAGCGCTGTCTCCCTTATCTCCATCCTCTGGAGAACCAAGGGGAGGCCAAGGAGCCAAGGAAACACACGGAGTTCATTATAACCCTTGAGCCATCCAAGTTCCTGGTTAAGCACATTACACAGCCCAGCTCCATACTCCTAAGCCCCAGTTATGGGATGATATGCTCAGCCCAGGTGGAAAAAGTGGAGGGGGGTTTCCAGGTACAGAGCACCTGACCACCTGCCCCACTTCTTGCTTGGCCCCAGGCATTCTCCAGCATTTCCATATTGAGAAGATCTCCAAGAGGATGTTTGAGGAGCTCCATCACTTCAAGCTGGTGACTAGGACAACCCTGAGTAAGTGGTACCTCTTTCTTTACTCCTCTCTGGAAAACAGCTCCAGTTTTCAATGTAGCCTAGCCCCAAATCAGGTCCCTCCATGTTCTCCATGGACATTAACAACCCTCAGTACCAACATCAGAGGCTGTTCTGTCTCCTCCAGGTGACTTAGCAGTGGATGGGGTGTCTATGAACAAAAAACCTGAACCTGGTGAATACAAATCCAGAGGTAGCCATCATAAGCTACCTCAGGTTCAAGGTTTCCTGAATATCTTTAGTGAAACTGCTAACCCCAGAGTCTCAAGAGGGTCAGAGACAGCTCACAAGATTCCAGGTCTTGTATATTTGTGGAGACTTCACATCCGGAAGGCTATGTCCTCTGGTGGTGGGGATGAGAGACAGAGTGAAAAATGAATGCATATCAATTCCCTTGTTGTAGCAAAGCTCTGGGTGACTCTATGGAACTGCCCCTGGGTGGTCATGTTTCTTTAAAGGCATTCAGGTAGCTCATGCATACTTGCAGCTCTCCCACTTTCTACGCTATATGGAGCCGAGGAACTAGATACTACTAGGCACTGGGGGTGGGAACACTCCGGAAGGAATAAAAGACACAGAATTTTTATCCACAGAGAATTGTAATGGGCGAGACAGAACATGAAAATGCCTTCACTGTGACTTAGTATAGTTCTGAAGATTTAAATACCTAAGTGCTCAAGGAGATCTGCAAAGAACAATGAGATGAGAGTCAGGTGGGCTTAGTTGAGGAAGGTTTCGGGGAGGAGGTGTGTTTTGAAAGACAAGGGTGTGACTGGGCAGCAGGTCAGGAAATCAGTCCAGGCAGAGGGTGCAGCCTAAGAGAAGACTCAGACAGGAGCAAACAAGAAATGTGGGGGTAGGTGACGAGCAATTACAAAGGCCACATAGGGCACACTGGAAGTTGAGAAGAGTTGTAGGTAGGAAGTAGTCAGGGGGCCCAGACGGAGCCAGCGAGAAGATCAGATATAAGGCCAGTAGCATTGGTACTTGCTGCAAACTTAAAGTGCAGTAATAGCAAAATGGTGCTTTGGGGAGATGTCTCTTAACTGTCAGGTGGATTTATTAAGCACCTACTTTGACAAAGCCATATTCTGAAGAACCCAATATGCCATGCTAAGAAGTTGAACTTGTTCTCCAGACTAGAGAACTTCAGTGTAGGTTTCTGAGCAAGTAAACGAAGCATTCAGATCTGTTTTTTAGTAAGAAGTACTTGGTATGCAGGGTGGAGGGTGGACTATCAGTGAGAGAGCTGGTGATGGTCTGAATTAACTGTGTTAGGTCAGTTAGACAGGGAAGGAGAGGTCACTGTGAGGAACATCTCTGGGGTCAAATCATCAAGATCATTATCAAAGAGGGAACTGGAATGTAATGGAAGAGATAAATGAGCTTGGAATGACTCCAATAAGAACTTTATGGACTGGGTGAGTGGTAATACCATTCCCCAATGGAAAACTCTGGAGAATAAGCAGGTATTGGTGAAAAGAAAATGAATTTCACTTAGAGCATATTTAGATTAAGATGCTTAAAGGCCATTGGAGCAGTTATCCAATAATAGGCTGCAGGAAATTGGGCTGATGAAGTCACTTGATTATTCTGCTGGTGACTGATAAGACCATCAACTGGATGGGAGAATTCAAATGGAGGAGCTGGGAGTCCTCACATGGGAGTTAGGAGTAAAGGAGGCAGCCTAGGATCCCAGGATCAGCGATGTGACTTCTGAAATTACCAGTTAATTTCAAAGAACATGTTTTTTGTTCATCCTGTGAGCAAGGCACTGGGAGAAAACAGGGAAGGATGATTTAAACTGCCTGTAACAGAAAAGACTTGGGGTATATAATGAAGGAGATGGTGTGTGCCCCTATCTGTGAGGCTGAAGGAAGTAGGAAATGAGATGATCCTGCAGGGTCACCTAGGGACAAAGAACAATCCTGACCCCTTTATATAATATGCCTAGCAGATCCTTGCACACACCAAGGCTTTCACAAAAGCTGGTTCCTTCCTTGAGCATTCTCTCCTTTCCCATCAAGTCTGAGAGAATAGGGAAAATCCAAGGGGGAAAGGAGCAGAGAAATTGAATCTGTAAGGATGGGAGCCATGTTCTTATGTGGCTAGGGAAAGGGAAGACGTTCAAAATAGGTTCTAGATTAAGAGGAGCTTGCTGACCTTGGACTAGGAGTTCTCTGGGTTGCAACACCATGAAAGCAGGATTAAAAGACTGAAGAGGATATCCAGGGTGGGCAGGTTGTTGTGAGGGCTATTTGATAGGGCAGGACGATAGCAGGGAAAGGAAGATCTCATCACTCAAGCACCAGGAATGTTAGAAATGAGATGATCCAGAGATGAGAGATAGGGGGGCTTCTGGTGCTAAGCACAGAGCACCCACTCAAGAATGTTTGACCAATGAGCCTGACAGAATGGGAAATAGGCAAGTTGGTAAGGACACGCTGGAGGTGTAGACAGTTCCATGGAGGGCGAGGAGAAAACAGGAAATGGAAGGGATCCAGCCTGAGTAGAAAGGGATCACATAGGGGATATGAGAATGGAATTCTCTGGGGAGCCATAGGAGGGGACTGAGGGATACTGAAGAGGGGGTAAAGACAGCATGTGTGCATGGGAGAAAACGGAGGTGAGCAGTTTCTAACAAAGGGTGGCAGGAATAGAGAACAGTAAATAATCAAGTAGCCCAAACCAATATAAGGGCCCCCCAAAGAAAGCAAAGCCTCAGTAACACCCAGGTACTGTTTTCCAAAATGCCTTATTCAAACTGGTGCCAAGTGAGCCACATAAACAGCTAACAACCTGACAGTGGAGCATTTTGCAAGTGCTAAATATACTGTAAAAATTGCAAGAATAATACTTAGCTTTTACACTTGAGGCAGTTACATATTATTCTTGGTATTCTTACACATGCTGTGTGTTGAAAGGAAAACTCCATGGCCCGTTTTCCTATCTGTCCCCAGGAAAGTGTTTTAGGGACCATTTTGCCAAAACCACCTGACATTTGTATTCCAGCTTCCCTGGTGGGTCCGGGAGTGAGTTGTAACCATGGGGGGTGTATTGCTTAAACTCCTGGCTGGCTGTGATCTCCTCTTACATCTCCGGGCCACTTTGTGTTTGCCTTTTAGGCCAGTGGAAGATATTCACTGAAGGAGAAGCTCAGATCAGCCAGATGTGTTCAAGTCGTGTGTGCAGAACAGAGCTTGAAGATTTGGTCAAGGTTTTGTACCTGGAAAGGTCTGAGAAGGGTCACTGTTAGACGAGACAGACAGTATTGCATAGGGTAAAGCAAGAAAACTCAAGCTGCAGCTGGACTGCAGGATTATTTTGCTTAAGTCAACAGTACCCTAAAACCCCAAATTCCAACACAGTTAATTATTCACGCCATGCACAGCATCACTCGCTCCTTTATGTGGAGTGGTGTGTCAGCCCTTAAACATCTCCTCCAAAAAGACTAGAAGAGTCTTGAATTATTCGTGGGAGGAAGAGGGATAGAACACCACCACAGCACTCTAGTTTCTGGGAGAATCACATTTCTTTACAGGTTAAAGAGGAAACAGAACCCCAAGGTCTCTGTCTGGAAAGTCATTCCAGTGAAAGAAGGAGGAGAGAATTGCTTAGTAGGAGTTCTGTAGTACAGAGAAAATACTTGTATGAAAGTGTAATCTTCGAATTTTAGAATGTCTTGTGTTTTTTACAAAAATGAATTCCCCATCCTCACATACACAGACATGCACACACACACACACACACACACTAAACTACAACCTTCATTCTGAGGCAAGGCTAATATACACTCTCCCTTCCTTTCCATTGCCTGGCTCCCAAGTAGCTTGGAGGTTGTGGGTACCCAGGAGGATGAATAAGGAATTGTGAGCAGAGGGCTCTGTCCTTAGGTCAGTGGGGTGGTGGTTGAGGTCACTGGCTATGATGGCAGGGTGAAGAATAAGAACACCATTTCATGGTCACATTCAGTTTGAAGCAGTAAATAACTTTTCCCTAATGATATGACTTTTTCTTTTCTCCCTGAACCTGTGGGGCCTCCATAAAGAAGCTGGAATTGGGGAAGATTTTCAGAAACTGAGTCCATATTAGACAAAATAATTCTTGATGAAAGGAGCTGATAGAACTCAACAAGTCCATCTCTGTGTTTTCAAGTCAATAAAACTCACCAATTAACAGCTCAATACTCACTCATTTTCTTGAGGCCATAGTTCTTCAGTCCAAAAATACAGGTTTAATATTAAATTATAAAAGCTCCTTGAAAGGGCAGTTTCCCTTCTCCAATTACAGGAGCTGATTTTTACTTTGCAAAGCAGATCATCTTTACAAGCTTCTCTGAATGTTGGCTCTTTAGTTAGGAGAATTAGTGCTCATTTGGGGAGATAGGAATTCTGACAAAGGTCATTATCCTCTAAACCTTCCTCCCATCCTCATCTCATCACCAAGCATGGACTTGAATCATGGATCTTAGAGACGGCTGCTCTGAAAATGTCAATATTTGCAGCCCAATACCAGAACAGAAATTATTCTGAGACCTGGCTTTAGAAATCATCTTTGTGGGAAAAACGATAAATTCTCCACAGCAAGGATCTCAAGCCTGCCTTCTATATCTGTTGCCTCTGAGGGGCATGAATGAACTCTAGTGAGTACTTAGAAATATTAAGGACCCAGAAATCTCATATTTCCTAGTCCATGACCATAGGTGAGAGGAACATGAACATGTTTTTCCTTAGAGTATTTGATACCAATAGAGAAAAATGTAAAAGGGTCCAGTCTTTGCAGCAATCTAGCATAAAGGAGTCTATTCTGATAAAAGATACAGGGCCCTGTGGCCAGGTCTTCATGGATGAGCGCCCCACCAGCCCCTCACACACACCTCCTCCTCAGGAAAGGGAGGTAGGACATCTGAGCTGAAAGGCCACAGAGCATTATTGCAGGAAGGGTGTTAAGAAGCCTCTGCCTGCCTCCCAGAGGTGGCAGTATTTCCATAGGGTGGAAACAAGGAACGGGATCCTGAAGCAGAGGTAATTTCCCTTCCTGATGACTCACTCCAAAGCCTTCCCACCCAGGTGTTCTCTGAAAACTCAACCTTAAGGGAACACCCAGAGAGCTTCCCTAGACAGACTCTTGCCCCCAGGTGCCAGGACACACCCTTACAAACCGCTGTGTGAGGCAGGAGCTGGGGAGCCGCGCTAGGCCAGCACAGACACCTGCCGGTGGTTGGTGTTGTACAGGCCTAGGCCGCAGGGAGAAGAGGCCAAGCCGCCTGTAGTTAGTAGAGAGGAATGGATGTGGTTCTTCTTGTGTATTTATTTGTATCATAAACACTTGGAACAACAAAGACCATAAGCACCATTTAGCAGCTGTAGCCATTTTATAGTTAACTCACATAAACAAGTAATTACCCTTTCACTCTTACAGGACATGTACCTAAATATGGTACTTATTTATGTAGTCACTGTATTTCTGGATTTTTAAGTTAATAAAAAGGCTAATTTTGAAAAATCAGGTGCAGTGCTGCTGTGTATTTGGCCCTCGGGTCAGTGCTGACCTTGGACTGGGTACCAGGTGATGGGTGGGCCTGCCTGTTTCACACACCACTTGGCATTCCTCTCACACTGTAGCTTTGTGGTCCCACTCTTAAAGTGGGACTTTTGCTGACAGAATGCCTGGGTTTTTAATCCCTGCTCTGCACTTACGGCTCTGTCAGTTTCCCCGACGATAAAACTGAAATAAGTGCATGTAGAGTAATCAGTGAGCATTCACTTACGACCATGGATGCTCAAGAATGACATGGCACTGAGAATGGCCATTGAGTTCTGGCTCCCCTTTTGGCCAGGACATTTAAGAGATTGGGGACAGAAGGCCATTCATTGATAGGGGTTTCAACAGGGCCTCAGTTTGGTCTGCTCCTCAGTGGCACATTAGCATGGGGAGCAGCGTAAGAGTCTGTCACATAGGCTGATCCAAACTAAATTCCCTCAAGCCCCTGATACCAGTAGATTTGTGTTATCACAGAAGATAGGAGATGGCTAAAATATCAAACAATAAAAGGACAGAAAAGTGTGCATTGGCGTTAGCAATACAGAAGTCATTGGTAATCTGTTGGGGTAGTGATAGGAGCAGAGGCCAGAAGCAAGTGGGAAGCAGAGGAATTGGAGACAATGGTTACAGACATCTCTTTGGAGTAGCCCAACTACAGAGAAAGGAGTGATAAGGTGAAGCACGTAGCTGGAGAGGATATGAGGGCCAAGGACAGTCTTGTCTTAATGATGGGAAATAGTTGACCATGCCTGAATACTTAAGGGAGGGGTCTTATAGAAAGGAAAAGATTGAAGATAAGGGGGGAAGGGGGCTAACGTGTGTGAGGTGCAGGAGAAGGCATGTCCCCATGGTGAGCCCTGGAAACTCAGTATTCCTGACCCACAACCTGGATAGAAGTTTGGCCTTTGGTTGCCAACCACATACTGTGAATTAATTTTACCTAATTCCCCTCATCTTTGTTAGCTTGGTGCCCCTTTTTACCCTGCATACTTTCTTCTGTAATGGTGGGCTATAAATCCCAATATTACTCCACCTTCATTGGGGGAACCATACTCAACTCAAAAGACACGCCTTGGCTCCGGCCGGCAGTCTTCCCTTTCCCTGATCACCCACACCCACATTTCAGCAAGTCCTGTCAATTTGGTCTCCTAAATGCAGTGCACGTTTGTTGGCTTGTGCTCTTATCTGCTCTTGCAGGATCTTTTCCTCTCTGCAGTCTGCACCCCCTAGTGATTCCCAGGACACCCCAAAGATCATCTCACATGGGCTCAAGGACAAGCCGTGCCTGCTGCCACATGTTATTCCCCCTTTTATTCCTTTCTTGCTCTGCCCCTCTGTGATGGGTACCACTAGGAAGAATGGCCCTATACAGCCTCTCCAGCTGCCCAGCTCCTGGCGGTCACCCGCACTGCCAGCTATGACGTAGCTGGTGGGCGCTACTGCTGGCCTGCTGGAGCCACCATGATGCTGTGCTCTGCACTCTTCAGTGTCCCCCAGTAGCACCATATCCTGGGCACGAGTGGAGAGAACACCCTGCTCCCTCCACATCCTCAGTGTTTCATGTTGCCACTTTATATTAAACCAGTTCACACAGAATTCTTGGGTGCATATTAAGTGGAACAAAGCAGGGTCTTGTGCCTCGGAGACTCCTGGAGTTTTTCAGCGGAACAAGCCCTTCAGCTTCCACTCGTAGCCCTTTCCTCAGGGCTCAGTTGCCAGTATGCAGAGGCTGTGCTGTGTATAAGCCTCTGAGACAGACATGAGACTGTCCTCCCAGTTCCTCTCCCCTTTGGGGCACATGTACTGCTTCCATTCCCTACCGAATCCCTCCCATCTGATGTCGGGGCCCACCCCACCCGTCTGCCAAGCAAGCTCACACGCCACTGAGGCTAACAAGTGTGAGAGGTGAATCCTTGAATGCAGAGCTCCAGCCACAACACACCATCTCCCAGATATTTCATATACATGTGCAACTTTGTGCTTGTGTATATGGTCTTCCCACCACCAGACTGTTCTTTCCTCTTCTTCGCCTGGCAAACTCCTATTCATCCTTCAAGATGAGGAAGTCAAAATGTCACCTCCTCTGTGGGGCTTTGCCCCTTGGGAGTTTGCCAGCATTTTCCCTTTCTCCCTAGGTACTGTATCCTCCAACCCTGCAAACTCCAGAACTTACCGTGTCTTTCCTAGATCCGTGCCTTTGCACACAGCTCCCTTTGCCTGGAATGCTCATCCCCTGATGTCTCTATTAATGAACACCTACTCATCTTTTAAAACTCACATTGCTCCTCTCAGACCTCATCCGCCTCTTCCAGACACCTAGTTGTTCCCTCGCCATGCTCCTAGGAAATGAGAGCCAAAGGGCTTACCCTGTGCCAGTCACTGGAGCAGCCGGTTGACGCGCATATTTTTTCAGTCCTCACCACAGCCCCATGTGGTAGGTCTCATTATTGACCCTGTTTAGCAGATGAGGACCCTGACCTGTTACATGCCATTATAAGTAAATGTGTGACGCATTTGCTCAGCCAGAGTGTCCCTGAATAGACCGGAGAGCCCCGAGAGGGCAGAAACCCAGTGCTCAGTGCTTCCGGACATTCAATAAGTAGTTGCCAAGTGAACAGTTAGTCTGATGAGCTTCCTTGTCCAGTTGGGAAAGAAATCAGTCCAGGGATTACTTAAACATCCAGGGGGTGGGCAGTCCTTCAGGACGTCTTCTCAGAACAATGAAAAAGTGCTTGTTTGTCTTGAAAAATGATTTGCCATAAGGGGTCTTTTAAAATAACTGATAAATATTGGATTTACACACAGTTTTTTTGTGTGTGTGTGCAAGATAGCCATGCATGTATGGTATAGGCCTCACAGCTGTAAGGATTCTGGCTAAGACTTCAATATTGTGGGTGATAAGTAGTATCTATAGTCCTACATATACCGTCTAAATTCTAATGTGATAGTCCATATTACAAAACTTACTTCTTTCTCTCTATCCATCTCTGTGTGTGTGAATAATTAGACTCCAACATAGTGCATATGGAACCTTCACAAAATGGACAATACAAGAGACCCAAGACCCTGGCTTCAAGTTAATGGAGACAAGAGGAGTTCTGAGTTGCCTCCAAGTATAGGCAGTCCCCAATCCAGGAATGAAGTATTAGCCAAAAATTTAGAATCCAGCGTGCATTTTCTTATAGAAACATCATTGTATCTGATGCTCAGTTTCCCAGGCCAGTCCACACATGCCTCTTGAACCCTGACTGTAGCCAAGTTATCTATAGCACTAATTAGTACCTGCTTAAGCTGGGTCCTGGGGCGGGGGCAGGCAGTGAGGAGAGAACAGGGAGCCTCCTGTCTGTCACCTTTCTGGGTGGGGCAGATGGGAGTGGGTGAAGGGCAGGCTCTAGGCAAAAATCTCCAAGACAAAGTTTGTACTTGACAGCCTCCTCTTATCCTTTCATGACGCCCCCTCCAGGTCCCCAGTGCTGCCATTCTGCCTTTCACACCCAGCTTTCCCAGACCCAGGGCTGCCTTGCTCTGCAAAGAACCTGAGGCTCTCCGCCTTTATCAGAACCTGAATCCCTTCAGGGCAGGCGTCTGGGCCTTAGGAAGGAACTGGAGATTAGCTTAACCTTCTGATACTTTTCCACTTGTAAAGACTTTATTACTCTTTATTACCCACAAAATGAATCCCCCAATTACAAAATTACAGGCAGAGGGCTGGAGTGACTGCAAACGGTCTGGCAATGGAGGCAGGAGGAGGGGTGTGTGTGTGTGTGTGTGTTGGGGGTGGGAGTGGGAGTTGATATTTGGGGGGTTGGAGGGAGTGGGCAGCACTAGGTAAGCAAGCCATACTTACCTTTCTGGCCTGAGAACCTGCAGTCCCCACCTTCACCCCTTGTAAACACTGCCAATGCCACCCCCTCCTTCTCCAGCTTTCTCCTCCTTTCACTTCGGGACCTACTACTTCTCTAGAATGCCCAGGTTGGGGTTGGTTTATAGTGGGAAGCAGCTGCCTGTCTTCTCGTATTGAGAACTGTCTCTGTGCCTGCCCATTGGCATGCACCTGGCTGTGACCCTAGGCTAGCCCTCGGAGGGGTTGCTCAGAAGTGAATTTTGAAACCCAGGAATATAGTATCCGTATAGGGAGATGGCTTCATCAGAAGATAATCAGGGAAAAAGAAGCACTGCAGAAGGGCTTTAACCACATTCAGTCCTGAGATCAAGAAGTGCACCTCTGTTCCAAGAATCACCAAAATCAATGATAAAATAAAATGAGAAGTTTGGGGTCAACTTTAGTGAGGAGTCCACTCCCATCAAGAAATCAGAAGAAGACAGGGAGTTAATTAATCCATGCAAACAATTCACATTTTTTTCCCTTTCTCCCTGTTTCTTAATCTGACTTTCCTTACCTATAAAATGGGGATAAGAATAGTCCCCCCTTCATAGGGCTGGTGTGAGATATAAAAGATATCATGTAATGTGCTCATGATTGTGACTAGCACTTACAGGTGCACAAGAAATTCCATGTTTTAAGTAGGTGAGCCATTTGTTGTTGAACTTCAGTAGTTCAAAGAAAGGGTAAAGTGGTCTCGGCTTACGTTATTTCAGGCAGAAAGTGGACCCTCAGCCTGAAGGAAGTGCCAGCCTGGGATAGGTAAAAAAGGAGAAGCCTTTTGGTGTCCTGGTATATAGGAAAAGAGTGGGGATGCCACCACAGGACTTCAGCCTGGATTTAGTAAGAGCAAGAGCCTGATTTTAGTACCAAGGAAAGGGGGAATATATCTACCCCCTAGAAACTGGGAGTGGTGGTCACTGCATTTAATTTTAAAATGTAATCACATGACTGCAAGGTAGGAAACACTGGTTGACCACATTTTTTTGTTCTGAAAAATGATCTGGGTGGTGGTGTTGAACATAATTTCAACAAATGTCCACAGTGTGACATGTTGCATGGCTATTTCCAATGTTCA